TGCCGATGTGACGTTAAATATTAACTCACTCACTCACTCACTCACTAATCTCTAACATCAAAATGTATATTTCGCTTCAAGGCAATAACAATGACATAATAAAATATGGTATGGAAACAGACATGGTGGCATGTGAGTCACGAGATAAACGTGTTCAGCTAGGTTGTAAGAATTCTGATTCACTTCAATGCGACGCATATTCGTGATTAATTTATTTGGTTAAAACATTTCAACACCTGTGTCGGTCAGTTTATCAGTAGATCTATTTAATAATTGAACAAGTGCGGCCTTGTAAAGTACTTTAGGTGGATAAATGTTTTTTTAGGTGATACAAAATGGACATTAATAAATAACGGTATTCGTCAGCTAAATCATTTTTATTACAATGGTAGATATTTTCTCATAGCTCGTTTTCTATCGGTACTCAGGTTAGCGGATCTTACTTTAATAGGAATAGTTTTTAAAGAAGAACTCTCTAATTTCAAATGTGTTAAAGTAATCTATTCTGTCTTACGAGAAGTGTCCACTAAACCAACAGAACAGAACATTGCTACTTGGAACTTCGTGATGGGTGGTCACAAATGAATGCTGCCTAAGGGGCAGATAACTCTAATTTGTAGATGAAAAGTACATACAAAATCAGCTGTGCAATTGCAGAAAAGCTCATATTTAACGTTGCATCGGCAATATCCCATCCATATGTGTCGACATGTAGACTTAACACTCAGTGTTACTGTACTGTTGTTGGTTATTTACGTATTCGTTGATTGATTGATTGTTGTTTAACGCCGCACTCAGCAATATTCCAGCTATAATATAACGGCGGTCTTTAAATGATCGTCTGGACCAGACAATCCAGTGATTAATATCATGAGCATCGATCCACGCAATTGGTGTACTATGACATGCTTCACCCAAGTCAGCGAGCCTGACCACCCGATCCCGTTAGTCGCCTCTTACGACAAGCATAGTCGCCTTTTCCAGCAAGCATGGGTTGCTGAAAACCTATTCTAACCCGATATTATATATTTTATATTAACCGATCTAAATACCTCCTCTGTATGTTATCAGTACGATGTTGGGTCGCAGCTAATCGCCGAATGAGAATCGCCCTGCACGACAATAGTTTAGAAACATTTAAAATGCGGGAAATCCTCTTCAAAGAAACCTTTGGCCTAATGGACCAGTTACTCGAAATGAACGTGTTGCAATGTTGACAGACGAGACGCTGTAGGGACCATCTCATAAGTTATTTGGAAGAAATGCGTGTTTGGAAGAATGGGATGCACAATGTAAATAGGTATTAATGGTATTTATATTTTTTCTTGTTCACGGTATAATGAAACTAAATATAGTATCGTAAATCGTAAGATTTACTCAAGCATTGCGCTACCAGACACAAGGTGATGTAAATGTTTGACATAGCATCGCTCCTAAACGTATACTCCGTGCTTGAACACAAGCCTGTGTTGATAAATACATTTAATTGTATTGTGAATACTCGGGAAGGGATTTGGGCCAGTTCATTACACAGCTGCGTTAAAGTTCATGTTGACATAAGAATCTGATATCACAAAAATCGCAAATGGTTGGAAGTTGAGCAGACACCCCACGATTATTGCGAAACATCATTCAGTTAGTTTTAACTTATGCGTCGATTGTTCATTAAAACAAACTGATGCTTGATCAAGTTCCAACTGAACCATCACAATGTGAACATTTTTTTACAATACACATCTGAAAATATCTTAACTTAGGGTCGTGCAAGTATATAAGTAAACATTCACTTTCAAAGTGATAGTGAATGTTGTTTAACGCCGTTTTCAAAACATATTCCAGCAACGATTTTAAGGTTTAACACAAGGCCCAAATGGGAAATTTGTTTGTTTCTTAACGCCACTCTCGGCAATATTACACCCGGTCTGTAAATGATCGAGTCTGGGCCAGACTACCCACTGATTGACACCATGAGCATCGATCTATGCATCTGGGATACGATGACATGCATCAAGCAATTTTTACGGCAAGCATGGGTGGGTGAAGACCTATTCTAACCCGGGTTTTAGTAGTGATCCGACACTTCTTGTGCACGATCGACAGTGTTGACTTAGATTAATATGGGCATTTGATTATAAAATTGTGTTTTGCGAACATCAAATGACCAATTGTATTCATTTAGTTTCTCAAAGGAAAGTTGCAAGTTAGTTCTAACGTGAGTATCGTTGGAAGGATGACCACCTTGCGTTGTGCATTCTGTTGTCTTACATATAAAGTGCTGTTCAAATAATTTACGTATTTATTTCACCTTATGCCATCAATTCGCCATTTATCACGCTTAACCGTTAAACACGTCAGTTAGGTCATTCACTGTTCAGCACTATCCATGAGGCTAATGAATGAATACCGCAGTCAGCAATATCCAAGCTAAATGGTGCAGTCTGTAAATAATGGAAACTGACAAACCTATGGTTGCAACGTTGCACGAACGCCGTCGGGTGCCACCATATCAGTTTCGGTCGCCTCTCCCAAGAGGTTATCCCCTAGTCCTGTTCGGTCTGAACTATATACTAGAATGTGGAAATACAGTTAATGCACAAGCAAGAAGTTACCCGACACTTGCGAAACCTTTAACCACAGTGATACTAAACATTGCCCAAAACTAAATGTTCCATGTCGATGTGGCCTTACTACGTTGGCATATTAGCCACAACATATGTAAACCATTTAAAATAGAATACAATTTTTGAAATCAAACTTCTAAATATATTTCTTTACTTGGAATTTCAGTAAACATGACAGTCTTTCTGATATTAACTGACGTTTTTTAAGATATGACTGACGGTGTTGGGACACACGTCAGGGTTGCAATTCAATTTATGGGTAGTTACCCTAAATCAAAACATTGAATATATCTTATTGAAGTTTAAACATTGAACTTTATGAATCCAAGCGAACTAATGTTTTGTCACTTTGAAATGGATACATAGTATTTACCAACATTGTTTTCAAACATCAAAGGTGTTTGATTCGCAGTCCAGGAACTGTCACGATAGGTACAGATTTCCAAGTGCGTAAAGAGCTTCTAGAAACTCTAAATGATTACCACCATGACCTCATTGCCAAGATAATTACATATTACAGTAATGTGGGGCATAGCGGTCTTAAAAGTAAAACTGGAAATTTGTATGAATTTAAATAATGATTTATTACATGAACATGAACTAAAAATGAAACATGAAGAATTTTACAACTTGATCTCATGTTTACAGTCACAAAACAGTCAATGAGAGACACATATTCACTCTCCAGAAACACAGATTTAGGCAGATTCCTTTTCCTCTGATTTTTCTTTTTCCTCTGATGTATCCTTTTTAACTTTCTTGGTCGGACTTTCCTCTTCACCATTCTCCTCTGAACTCCTCTTTTCTGCTGTAGTTTCTGTTGAGGCCTCTGAAATAAATATACAAGACATAAAAACACATACCCCTGTGACATCGATAATACATGGAATAAAAATCAGACAACCAGCTGATCAAAGTAATACCAGTCGCGAAGTAAACAGTTTGATACAGTGAAAAGCAACATCAACAAGAGACTATCAACTTGGTGAAAGTAAGCACTATAAGAACTGATTTACGCACCTGAAGATTCTACCTCTTCGCTCTGTTCACTGGCATTTTGATTTGTGTTCTCCTCCTTGTCTTCCTCGGCTTCCTTCTCAGTCTCCTCCTTTTCCTCGGTCTCTTCCTTAGCCTCCGTGGCTTCGTTGGCCTGTAACATTGGAACACACAATCGTTTGAAAACGAACATGGATTGAACTTCATTATTTAACTCCCGAAACTGTGAAACAAGTATTACTTACAGCGAGAACATGATCGAATAACATTTTGTAATACTAAACGTAAATTGGTCCTTTGTTTACAAAACGGATTTCATACTCACGGCGTCTTTCTGTGCCTTCACATCCTCGACTGTTTTCTTTACCTCGACAGTTTCTGTCTCGGTTTGGGTGGTGTCAACCTCAACTTCTGACCTAGTGATGACAAAGATATTTTTGAATGAAAACTTATGAAATCTATCTAGTAAATGCAAACACAACCAGCTGACCTACTTTTCCATCCAGCAGACGATATTAATCACTCAGGCCTAAACACGGAAATATTAAAGCGAGTTGCATTCTTTTCCTACTTCACCCAACGGCGCACTGGTTTTTCCGCATGCTACGAAGATAAACCTTTACAGAGAAAGCTGATCAAACACACTGAACAGGATGTAGGTTTAAGATCCCCACTATAGCTTTCTCTGCTTGCTTTAGCTTCTCACGCCTTGACCTCCTTTCATTAATTTACTCATGTCGTGTTGTACAAATACTAAATTGGATGTGTTCATGTACTATTAACAGTGAACAAAGGACATCCCTTATACGATGCTAATACTAAAAACGTTCTAGTCATTTAGATGTGTAAAGACACAATTTCTGTGAGAAGATGCTAACATCAATGAACAAAGACGACCATGCTGGTTCAGCGTGGCCTGGAGAAAGGCTGTGCGTAAACACTTCCTTGTAGAAAGAATTATAGAAATACAGTGAGAGTTTTACTTAAAAACATACATGATTTTATAACTAAATCACAAAGAATGCTATCGTGACTTACTTTGTTCCAGGCATGATGGGGTTTTTGGTATGAACTCTAGAAAATCTCAACGAACGTGGGAGAACTCTGACTGCCGCCTTCCTCAAACAATGCTCACTGCAGACGACTGCCGTTGAGATTCCCGCCTCTTACGTATAATTTATGCGTCACGTGACCGACTTCTCGCTTCTGATTGGACAAAGTTTTTAATCCTGGTTTGGTCACGCCCATTGTGAACCACTGAGCATGCGTGCATTCTAATGAATGTAGGAACAAAGATGGCGGGAAATACCTTTTCGGATACTTTCGGGAAACTCCGTCACCATTTTCGCTAATGTATGCAGAAAATCTACAAGAAAGCTTCCATTGGATAGAATTTGTTCCGCGAAGTGACATCCCGTTTCGCCGTAAATAAACCCATGTGACCGGAAATATCAAGTGTGACTGCAATGTGGTGATACAACAAATCTCTGTTGAAAATGACTGATCAATTTGGATACTTAGAGTTACTACTGAAGGTATATCGCTTTCTGGTACACTGTTATCAAAGATGCCAACTAGTTTACTCAGATTTGTTTCTCAGGTTCCGCTGACAATTCGCCATGAAAACAATAACAATATGCATGACATGGGGGTGTGTCTCTTCAAATTCAGATGTTATGTGAAACTTCACCTTTATATTCCATACTGAGTCTCACTGACAACATGTAGATTTCAGCATTGCATTTGTACAAATAATGCTAAATACAATATAGATGAATATAACGAACTAGACACAGAAAGTGGCTGAAAACACAACTACAGTAGGTATGGGGCAGGCTGTGTGTGATGTCAGGCCCACAGTCAGTCTAAAGATAATGTAAATGTTGTAATATATAGTTTTTATTTTTAAATTAGAGCTTGTATGTCATCATTCAGTCTATATGTGCATATTTACAGTACAGGACATTGGGTGTGTTCTTTCCCTACAGGAGAGTGTTAATTTTATTTTGTTATTTGTTAAGACTTAATGAAACCTTCCCATTTATGATCATTTATACCTTTGTAAAACTGCAACTAGGTGTTCAGCCTTCTAAAACTGATACCAAGAAAAGCCCTGAATTCAATCACAAAATATATGCATGAAGAAAATCAGATTAGAGAAGATGCACTGGCAGGAATTTGTCCAGGATTCCGAACAGACAAATTAGGAAAAGATTGTTATATTGTTCGAAATTGGATTTTTCCCAGTTTCATAATTTCTGAGGAATTGTGAGATCATTCGTTGAGATTGGTATTTTTTTCTGTCATTTCTTGAAGACTTCGGCCTCAATGCAGATCCAGATAAATCCCTGCCTGGTCTTCGATTTTTGTCACTTTGGGCGTTTCACACCCATGACGCTCATAGTAAAATTCAGCGATATAACAAGATACTGTTTAGCTGGTCATGAAGCCAAACTGACATAATCAGAAAGAATACAATACTGATCATTTCCCCTCTGCATGAATAATAGGAGCAGGGGTAGGGAAGAGCCGTCGTTTCTGAGTTGTTTGGTCTTTTGGTATACCCATGTCAAAACTTAAGGATGATTACAAATTATTTCAAATCCACACTTCTGTCTCATACCATTTAGACTTTGGTCTGTGGAGCTTGTTTTATGACCATAATAAAACGTGAGGGTTTGACTTGGTCCGCATTCTATTTGAATGACCTTGCATGTTTTCAACTTAATTTATGTTCTTTTATTCATTTGAATAATTGGTTCTTTGTAAAATTGTCCAGATTCCTAAAATAACACAACAGAAGAATAACATTATTAACACATGATGCTTATATATGAAACAAGATTAGTTAAGTGGATTTTTCTCTTTGACCTTTCCTTCAAGAGAAAATGTACCAACTTTTTCTTTTTTTCAGTTTCTGCTCTTAGTTCTACCTAAAGTTGCAACCATTACCTAAGTAACAGGGGTAGACACCATATTTGACTAAGGAGTAGTGGCAGTGTCTATCCCTGTAGGAATAGAAACCATGTATTAGAATCCGCTTAAGTCCACTAGTCTGAGACTGGCAACATTCATGTAGAACATGACATAAGACAATTTTCTTGTGGACGACCACTTGTACCTTCAGACAAATGACAACTCTGAAGCAGATTATTTTTGTAGACAATAAAATTTTCTTTTAACCCTGATTTCATCATGCCTGAGGATATACACTGAAGTTTCATCAACTTCCTTTGTGATTGTTGCTAGGAAACTTTTTATTCTGGAAGCCTGCATGTAGATGAGCCAGCATCAATTGAACAGGCTGTGAACAAGTGTTATGTAATCGGCGTCATAAAAGTGACTGATTACACATGTGGTTGTAAGATGCTTTGCATTTATTTGTTTATTACTGCTCTACATGACAAGGATATTTAACTGTAGCCTGAATGGTACTTTATTCCAGTAATAACGTCTGCCATCTAAGCATGGAAGCTATTAGGAGTTCACAGCTCCAATGTGTCAGTATTTGGTAAAAGCAGAGATTTGTGAAGAATTCCAAACTAACAGCCCAGGGCATGCTAAAACTATTGTTAGGTTCAATTTGTTATTTTATTCTCAAAAGATTTCTCCAATTTTAGAGATATTGAATGTAAAATGTAAATGCTGGTAAGTATTAAAGTCTTTTTCTTTGTTATAAGCACTGTTAACAGCAAAATACAAGTCACTCTTGAAAGACTAGTCTATCTTCCAGACCCAAGAGAATAAATAAAAAAATGAAAACCAGCTCAAGTCTAGAATGATTTGGCAAATCTAGATTGTCTCTAGCTCCTGAAATTAAACTCTGTTCTGGGTACCAATTTAATTTTTATTTTGTGGTTGTGTATTTTTAAATGCGATAACTTTGTTTCTGTGGCTAAATTTGATTAAAAATCCATTGAAAAGCTAAAACACTTAAAATGACCAACCTAGTCCTCTTTCCACAAAGCATGACTGTTGTAAGTCTATGTAAAAGTATGGGAGTTAAGATCGTCTATGATCTCTTTGTTGATCGAGTCCCTGTATTCGGAAATACTTTATTCCAATTGGAAACTAATATTTTATGTAGACTTGAGGCCAAATATTGGCATCTCAGAATGCCTGGCTAAGCCTATGATTAGTATTGATTCTATTCATGATTGGTTGGTTCAATATCCAACCAAGGAAACAAGCATGAAATTTGCCATCTGTTATTTTACATGTTTTAGAATTTGGAATGATAAGGATGAGTATGGCTTGCACTGAGCATCACAGATGTTACAATGTGCGTGTTATAGCCAATGGAGTCTCAGTTCCTGGTATCCCTGCTTGTGCTGCCAAGTTAGGTGATATGTCATTTAGAGATAGTCTTCGAGTCAAACCAAACGCTGTAGGACCTCAAGTAACATTTGGTCTAAATACGTCACAATGTCAGCCGGCCAACATATTAATTAAAGTATGTCGCAAAACTAACAATTTATTTGAGTAAAAAATTTATAGTGGCATGTCCACAAAACTCTCACCCAAGCTGTTCGTGAAATGAATCATCGATGGATACCTTCAAAGGTTTTTGCTGTTTGTTTCTATTATTCGATATATTATGCAATTTCATTGATGATCAGTTGGTTTCAATCTCCAGTCGATGAATCGGTGGTTGATTATATTCCAACGAGGATTTTCTTTGATTATTTTATTTTATTGAATGTGTGATTGATAAGATTCTTGACGTAAAAGGCGACTATCCTTGTCGAAGAGGGGACTAACGGGATCGGGTGGTCAGGCTTGACTTGGTTGATGCATGTCATCGTGTCCCAATTTTGTAAAACGATGCTCATGATATCAATACCTGGATTATCTGGTCCAGACTCTTTTTTCAGACCGCTGTCATATTGCTGGAATATTGCAGAGTGCGGCATTTAACAACAAACAAACAAAGAAACAGACTTGTAGCTGTTGCAGTGTTTCCTGATCTTCACCTGTAGATGTGTTTATGTCAAAGATATCACTGGGCATTTGTCTGAAAAATTCCAAATTGGAAGTAGAGATATTGAAAGTCATGTTATCGTGACAATAACTAATGTTTGAGCTTTGCAAAGGTTACCATGGTTACTTGTGTTGCACTGAAACCAGGATAAATAAAAAGACACAGGATTTATACTTATTTTATGTAGCAGCATTAAATGTGAGGGTAAATTACCTATACTTTTGAATTTAAGAAAAAAACGGGATTATATCAGAATGAAGGTCCCATTTGGCCTACCACTTATTTTAGAACCCTAGATAAACCTGGTATCGGTATGATGTCATTTAGGTTTTTACAGTTTTTTGGTGTTTGACGTTCAAATGATATGGACCAAAATAATCTGTCGGTGAGGAGACTAAGAAAAAATGTTAAATATGTATTGACTTTTTTTGATAGGTCATTGATAGATCTTTTTCAAGCCAATGGTTTACTCACTCAAGCCTTGACTTTACTTCATGTAGTCTTGTGCTGTTTTTCAATGTTCTGTGAAATACCATCATGCCTATATTCATACAATGACATATGACCAACTGCTTTAACGAGAACACATTGGAATAGTCTACGACTCTATCAGTGCTATGAACACAGTGTTCACGTTTACAGTGAGTGAGTAAGTGAGTATGATTTTACGCCGCTTTTAGCAATATTCCAGCAATATCACGGCAGGGGACACCAGAAATGGGCTTCACACATTGTACCCATGTCGGGAATCGAACCCGGGTCTTCGGCTTGACGAGCGAACGCTTTTTAACCACTAGGCTACCCGACCGCCCCTCACGTTTACAGGTAATTTCCAGTTTTTTACTGGTACAATTAGGCTTGGACCGGTAATTCATGTGACTGCTATTTCCTGTGAACCTGCTAATAAGCTACGTTATAACTCCTTGTTGCCGAACAAAACATCCGCGATATTCATGTAGGTATATTTTTCTAAATAAGTCAGTTTTTATCTGTTACCATCAGGGTTTCCCCTTGTCTGTTTTAAGTGCAAGGTGCAAGGAAATAACATTTCGCTTTGTCTCAAGGTTAATTATATATTTGTAGCTACTTAGTCTTGAAATATTCAAAAACAAAAGGGAGAGAGAAAATTGTGACTGAACTTTGTGTAAATGATGTTTAGATCAAACTAAGTTACTTCAGGGATGCATATTACTGTCTACTGTTTTTAGTTATTGATTCATGACACATTAGATTGTAATAGGCATCAGAAATTTAAAAAATAAAGAATCTGAAACACCTTTACAATATATTTTACATATATTTGACTAATCAACCTGTTCATCAAGATAGTAATGTAACTGTCTACCATCTTTCAATGTATATTTTGCAATATGTTGCTCTTGTACCACCATTGTGGTGTTGAGAAATGAAATAAATCTGAATGTGATATGTATAAAGTTTCTAAAGTCCCTTTTAAACTTTCAGACTCTGAAACTCATAGCAGCCCTGATCACTCAAAAGGTCTCAAGTTATCAGTTATTTTCTTTACAAGTTAAGTGTAAAGAACTGATCAGG